GTGTGTGTGTGTGTGTGTGTGTGTGTGTGTGTGTGTGTGTGTGTGTGATCATTGACATTTTTTTTTCTTTCCATTTAGACATCGAAAGTAAAAATGGGAGATTAGATGACTACACAACCTACAGATCAAAGATGCTGTGTTGCTGGTGCAAACAGGAGGTGTAAATACATAGTAAATTATTTAAATGTATTTTCCTTTGTGTCGGTTTTTAACCATCATTTTCTGAAGATTGAAATATTCTGTGTGCACCAATTTGTCTTAAAAGAGTGCATGATGTCAAAGGCAGATCTTTGACGACTTTCACACTTAGTTTGGCATCTCATAATTCTGAAAATGAAAATATCACTTAATGTTTTTGGCCATACCTCCATGATGTCATAATACCACATTTAAATGATAGAATTGTTCTTTTTTTTAAATCAAAAGGTATTTTATTTATTAAAATAGCCTAATAATATAAACCGTGATCCTGCATATGGTGACAGAACAGACTGTCCATAGACCCAGTGTTGGGGTCTGTTTGTAATCATCTCAATCTCCAATATATAGTTCGCTGTGATTGTTCTGTACAGTACAAGAAAAGTGATAAATTGCATTAGTGTGGATCTTTACATTGGCTGGGTGTAAATCGTGAAGTACTCTCTTGATCGCTGTATGCAAGAATGTTCTTGTATTTGCGTGATGACACCTGGTGTATCCGGTGTGCTTGACCTGATCTCACTCTCACGTGTTGTGTTCTTTCATGTAGCTACTGAATTCAAGTAAATGCTATCTTTGAGAAAACAGTTATACCAAAACTATGATGTTAAAAAAAATAAAAATACCAGTCATCTCCAATTGTATTTCTACCAGTGTAGACCCTCACTTTGTAGGGCTCTCTTTAGTCCTGGTTGGTTAAAAATGAGAGGATATAATAATCTGATGTGTGTACATATTAAAAGCAGTTTGTTTTTTGTGAAGCATGAGGGTGTTTGCCATTCCGTATTTCCTAGTTGTCTTGTAAATTTTTATTTTTATTTTTATTTTTTATTTTATTTTATTTTTTTGAGAAGCAAGAAGTGGTCTTTATCTCCCAGGACACTGTGGTGGAAGCTTGTTTCCTCCATGGGTTTAAAAAAAAGTTAAAGTAATTTCGACAAAATTCAGAATTGTGAAACTCAAAATTTGTACCTTTTTTCTCAAAACTGTGAGCTTACATCTCGCAATCCTTGATGAAAGGTAATTGTGACTATCAAAATTTTGACTTCTTTTCTTCCAATTGCAAATTTACATATTGCAATTCTGATTTTATATGTAGCAATTGTGACTTTTGTTCTGATAACCGTAAGAAAAAAGTCAGAATTGTGAGATATAATTGTGAATCCAAATTTATTTATTTTTTGTATTAAATATTTTTTTAAACCCATGGTGGAAGCAAGTTTCTATAAGTTACTGTAAACTCTGAACAATATGTAACAAGTTCTTTGCTGTTCACATCAGTTAATCCTGAAAACGATAATCTAAAAGCAAGTTCATAGCAGAACAGCACTGCAAACAGTGTGTGGTGGACTTTAATTGGCCACAGACACGAGATGCTATATTTAAACAGACATGAGGCTGTAGATTTTTCTGGATATTAAGATCTCATTTTCACAACCAGGGTTTTTGTCCTCTTGAAATGTTTTAGAAAGATGTATTTTTAGTGTTGCATCGGCTGAAATATTTAAAGGTACAGCCCATTTATCCCTCATAGCCTCATTTTCATTCTTGTATAATTAAATATGGTGTTTTCCCTCTACTAAGGTTATCTACTCAGTCTGATCCACTGTTTATAGCCACAATCAAACTTGTAAGATCAGTTGGCCTTCTTTAAGCTCTACTGAAATACTTTACTATCTATGATGTTTTTGTGAAGTGGAGGTACATACTAAACATGATTTTACTAACTCCTGAATGTCCAAAGTCAACTTCTGTTAAATGTCTGTTGATATTGTTTATATTAATGATCAATCAAATCACATACTCCATCTGTAAAGCACTATGGTCTTGTGAATAATTTCCAGTCTAGTGACTAAGATCATCTGTTTTCTTGCACTGGATCTGTGGAGAGATGCTTTTTTTGTTTTTTTTGTTACATGGATAAGTGTTTATTTTAAAACATTCCAACTTGGATCTGATGGATCAGACTACGAGGCTGCTTTAAGTCTAATTATTGTGGAGCTTCCAGGACCTGGATTGGCTGTCTGTGGTTTAGTAGTTCAGGAGTTGTGCGGTAAAGATGACCTCTTAAACATTTCTCCTGTTTCAGTGATTGTTAAATATGTTAATGTGGTGATTCCATTGTTTTGATGTGTACAAGTGGATCCTCTAGACTTCCTAATTGTCCTTGAAGAAATAAAAAGAAATGTGAAAAACCGTTCGATGCATGAATTTTTGTTTTTATAGTTGCCAGTAGTATCATCACAACATAACTCAAACACTAGGTTATCAGATGACTAATTATTCTGATGGAGGCATGGAAATGCAGGTCCATGATCCTTCAGCCAATAGGAGTAAAAACTGATCACCCCCTCATTACCATATTGCATGGTGAAATACACTACCTTTTAAATGTTTTTGAACTAAGTATCTTATTATCACCAAGGTTGCATTTATTTAATCAAAAATACAGTACAAAGAGTAATATTGTGAAATGTTTTTATGGCTTATTGAATGTGTTTCAAAATGTAATATATTCCTCATCGTTTTCAGCAGTATACCTTATTCATCAGAAATCACTCTAAAATGCTGATTTGGTGCTCAAGAAATATTTCTTACTATCAATGTGGAAAACAATTGCTGCGTAATATTTTATCAGTATTCTTTGACAAATAGAACGTTTCTATTAAAACAGTCATTTCATGTGGGTTCTGCAGTTGCACTGTGGCCTTTAATGGTAATGATAACTTTGGTTTATGCATTCAATATTCACTCTATTCATTTTTTTTATTTTTTTTTTTTTGCTCTTTGTCTGAATCAGCCTTTTGTTTCACTTCTTCATTTAATTATTTGTGTGAACAGGCCTTTAGTTTACCTAACCGTGTTGTCATTAAGCATATTCTTCCTCATCTGATTTCCAGCAGAATGATCTTTTAAATGATTTGTCATTAATATCCATCTAGCTACTTATAACCACCCTCTGGAAAATGAATATTTTATCACCATTTCAAGTCACACTCTGTAAATTGATCTGACATGCATGCTTGAATTCAGATTGAGATTATTCCGCCACACAAGAGCAGCTCATATTAAAACAGTCATTTCATGTGGGTTCTGCAGTTGCACTGTGGCCTTTAATGGTAATGATAACTTTGGTTTATGCATTCAATATTCACTCTATTCAGGAAAATAATTTTATAGTCCTGGGACATCAGATTGTGTTGGGTAATCTTGTTTTTAACAATGTAAAATTCTTAACTGTCACTTTTGATACATTTAGTGCATCTTTTCTGAACGAAAACAATTTATTAAAAAGAAATGATGGAAATAAATATGTAAATAAAAGAAAAAACATGCATAATGTAAATTAATAAATTGAAAGAACATTAAAAAATAATTTCTCAATTTGATTATGTATTTTGTTTTCTGCAGTATACATTTATTACATAATCTTTATTTATTTACTCATTTTCGGTTTTGCAGGAAAGTGGATAAAATATGTCCTCTTATTCTGGAACATAACAGGATAACAGTATTTGTCATCAAAGTCGTGAGGCAAGTTTTCACGTGTTTACATGTACAGAATTTATAAATCAATTTTTGCAAAAATAAAAAGAATGGTTTGTTTTTGCTGTTTAAAGCAAATCGAAAAAAAACATATTATACAAGGGAACTGCCAATGTAAACAATATTTCGCTGAAGGTTATTCATGATTTATTAAATGCAGTATTGTACAAGCATTAGCGATCAGGTGACAGCTTCAAACATCCACCAGATGGCGCCAAAGGACGCGACACTGTTGCATGGCTTTCAAGCATCGCTTGTTTAGCAGGTGCATCACTCGTCACAGCTGCTGCTTGATGCTATATATTTCTATAGAAAATTAAAACAAATCTTAAATAAGGTAACCCTTTAAGAAACATGATTCTACAATGAGCGTAGCCTGCCATTCGCGACAGCAGTAACGTGCATTTCATTGTTGACTGAACTGCAGTGAACAAACATTTGACCAAAGAATGGACCACGATGGATGTTTGTTTCTCTCGCGCTCAATCCTGCTTGTGTGAAACTCAAAATGCATAATAATTGGAAAAGAGCTAATATTAGGACAAAAAAAATGCTCACTTAAAATAAATGAGAATTAAATGTTTAAAACCAGAAATACCATAACAAAACAGTACATGCTTGCATAGCAAGACATCGAGGCGATATAAACTGCGTCCTCTTGCGGCGAATAAGCGAACCACCGTTTGAGCCCTCCGAGTCTCCGTACTAAAGAAACCCTGCCTCCCTATGCCTTTATTCGCACACCCATCATCTCTCCTCGCCAAAAAACACAGAACGGACAGATGAAAATACACGGCAAAATATTTAGTATCATCACTGGAGTGAGTGTACGCTGCTGTCAAGGGCTCTCAATAACATGGAGATATATAATATTCCTGCAATATGGCATAATTCTTTCATTAGTGTGCATTTCTTTCCGAAAAATGAATTAATCGACGTTGTCGGCAGAAAGAAATAACGCTGTTCGGCAAGTAACTCCATCGTTTTATATGGATATTATGATAAAACTAACTGTATTTCACACAGATGACACATTTATGGCTGAAACTGAGAGTTCTTCTGAAATAGACAGTCAGCTGAAGTGAATACAAGAAAGATGAATCCCTTATAGAGGAGCTCCCTAGCTTGCAAAGGATCAAGGTAAGAAATGACATGTTTGTGTTCATGGTTTGCAAATTTGAAACATTATTTTTTTTTTCATCTCTGCATGACTTCCTTTGAACGATGCTCTTTGCTGTTTTTCTCTTATATCGCATGCTATCTTTATTGCCTGCCATCTTAATCAAGGCGTAGAGATATTCCACGTAGAGATGCTTCCTATACAATCTAAACTCTTGGCCAGATCGCAATACCACAAAATAGTCTTTATTTTCATCGACATGCACATTTCAGCTCCTCCCAGCAGAGTCGAGTATAGGGATGTTGCTGTGTAATGGTACCCACAGCATCCATGGACAGCATCTTGCCCAGTGTCTCCAGATAGGAAGCTGGCAGGACATGTGTGACTTTGTGGCCGAAGATCTATGAGCATGGAGAAGAATTCAGAGTAACACTTTTTATGAATAATGCATTGCAATGGTATTTTGAATGCATTCTTAAAATGCATCTTTTAATCACATATTCTTATTAATAACAAACAACATTATAATACCTATTTATACATTGAAAGAGTGACTTAAAACATGATTAAAGCCATATTGCATGTCTATACTCTTTCTTAAGCACGAATAGGTACATTTTAAAATCTTTGGTTAACATTTTTATGAACATTTTTGAATCCATTATGTTTGCAGACTTAATGGAAAGTGTTATTGAATATTGTGTGGTAAGCTTTCTAGAGGTGGTTTATGAATCAAGGCTGGAATAACTAGAAATTTGTTGAATATTTACAAAAGTTTGGCACATAATATTTCCTATTAACCTTTTGATTAGTAAATTATTGATGATAGCACATCATGGCACGTTAGTCTCATGGGAACTGCTGTTTATGGGATCCAATTAACATGCAGCTGTTCTCCCCATTTATTTAATCAGTGATTGCAGTATATCTTTTTAATTGCACATATTGTAATACAGTCCATTCTTAAATAGATAATCAGATTTGTTTATTATAAGCTCATACAGTATATGGCATTGAGGCACTTTCCCAAAACCTCAATTTTTTTTTATTTTTTGATGTTTTAAGGGGTTTTAGGATTGTTTGTTTCACTTGTAAACAAACCATTTTTCTCTCTTTAACCTTTCAGAATCCTTTATCGGGTCTGTTTCTGCTGAATATTTTCCGTCTTGGATGTTACAATCACAATCCCTAACAATAACACACATTGTCAGTAAGGATTGAATCTGTTTTAATAGGTTTTGCTTCTAATCTTTCAAATAAATTTCAAATAAATAAAATACCATTTACATGTTTTTTTTCTTTAAGTAGACTAGCATTATTTCCAATTATTCTGATTCGGTTTAAAGGCTATTCCAGTTGTTTTAAACTACTTTTAACAGTGTTATGATGGTGAACATAAATATACACATATCACTGACAGGATGGAAAGTTAAGGTGGCAGTTTGTTGTTTCAGCTTGACTCATTTGCAGTCAATCACTTTTGCTGTCTAATATGTGCTCTCAATGGATCCTCTAAATGACTTTCTCTCAGCGTCTGTATCTGTTCCTCTCATTCACCCACACAATCTGCTTTTTAAGCTCTCTTTCTACAGCGCGATACCCGAGAGCCCAAGGGCGGATTGTCCGTTGGTCCATTTTGCAGTTTGTTTTGAACAGGAGCTGCTCTGTTTGGCTAATCTACCTCCATCCACCAGAGATAAATGACCGTTTGAGTCTGCTGCGATTCCTTTTCTTGCTTGATGGGAATGGTTTTGATTGGAAATTAGGGGCAAATGTATATTGTGTTTTATAGAACAGTGCAAATTTAGACACCGGATCACTGGTCATACAGATGAGAAATCATTGGGTGTTGGGATTTGTTGTCATGGGAACAGTAAGACCCGTGACACAAAGGTGGCGTGAAGTGGACTGCTTTGTTTTGAACACCGGCTTTGTCTGATTTTTGTCTCTTCCTCAAAGTTTAAAGTTCATTTTTCTGCACTCGTGAGCACAAAAATAACAAATGATTAATGATATCAGACCAAGTCTAGTTGCGCCCGGAAGTACAGAATGTGTTTGTCGCTTGTAGTTTATTTCTTAGGGAGTTGCAAGGGCATTTAGGTGAATGGGGATAATCATGTCTAAGTCTATCCAGATGCCAACTTAGAGGTCCGTCCAAATGAAGGCTTCAGCTGGGGCGGTTTAATTTGTCTCTTGGCTCGGAGTAGAGTGAGCAGCTGGACTTGAGGCAGGCAAAAACTGGGGCCGCGGTCTGTGGAGCTTACAAGCTAACAGAGCTGGAGCGCAGCCACCCAAGACTTCCTTCTGCTTGTTTGTGTGCTGTGATATAGACTGTGTATAGAGACAATGCTGTCTCATAATTAGCCGCTCGGGTTCACACATCGGTGCGATGACTTACCTTTGTGATATTCTGAATTAGATACATTTCAAACCCTGAAAGGACTCGATTATGTAACTGTTTAGTGTTCATTTAAGGCAGCTGAAACTATGTCAAGCTTGAGTTAGCCTTACAGGAATATTCCACATTCAATACAAGTTGAGCTCAGTCGACTGCGTTTGTGATATAATGTTGATTACTACAAAAAAATAATTCAGACTCATCTCACATTTTCATAAGGTTACAGTTTTTGGAGGATTTGGAAGCAGAAATGTGAAGCGGCGTCGTTACTGTTAAACTAAAACTAGTAAAATGATTTATGTTTATTGAAAGCTATATATATATATATATATATATGTGTGTGTGTATGTGCTCAGATAGTTGCCAAAGCAACATTTCTCATTTAAATTTAGTTTAACATGACATACTACATTAATTAAAACTATATAACCTGTAATACTCATTAATTCTAAATCTCATTTATATTAAAATAACACTGATTGTATCTGATTGAAGTGTTTCTACTTCAAAAATACAATATATTAGATGGAAAAACTTAGCTAACATGGACATTTGAAATTTTGCATTTGAAACTGACATAAAAGCTAACATTAAAAGTTGCAGTACAACTAAAACTAAAATAAAAAAATAAATGAAAGCTAAGTAGAAATATTAAAATACAAATTAAACATTAAAAACATAACAAAAATACTAAAATTTAAACTAACATTTAAATGAACACTAAAAATGCGAATAAAATATAATATTAATAAATATTACAATAGTATATAAATAATGCAAACAAAAATGATGTGAAGCTCTTCGATTCATTCTTGTGTATTATTTCATCTATAAAGTGAGTACTTCTATAAAGTGAGTACTTTTATGTTTACGGATTGGCTCCAATTACTTCCATTACAAGTTCCGCACTGTAACCCAATATTTGATTTGTTTTGTTGTTGTTTTCAAGAACAAGGAGGCACAGATTGAACTCATTTTTTGTAGCAATTAACTGCTAAATAATTTTGTTAAACTGCAATGATTAAATATTACATGGTTTTAACTACAGTATTAATGACATATTAGTATCATATTATTTCCATTTTTACACCTCTGTATTTTTCAGACCTCTCATTTTCTCGCATAGTCAAGCTATTGTAGAGAGGGTAACACAACATAACACAACACAGGATCTTGTAAGTGATGTTTACATCACAGGAGTGAGTTGAATGTGTTTTGAAAAGTGTAGGCTACACTCGTGGTGAGATTGAAAGCGTAGCTGAGTGGGTCTCCAAGCACCATTCAGTATAATCAGAAATTGATGTCACGTTTGCATCCCACTGAACAGGTGCTGGCCACAGATTTCCAGCCAGAGGAGGATGGAAGCCTGCAGGCAGACAAGCACACTTTTAATGTGGAAAAATCATCTTAGGTCAAGGAATTTTAGGTGGATATTTTCAATATGTGGGCTCTTAGCTGCCTCCCACTCAATATGAAGCATCTAATTAAGCTCATTTTAATCGTTAGCGATTAGTGGGTGGGGTTTTCTTCTGGGATGTTTTGCTGAGTCTGACTTTGTAACCCAATTTGAGCTTGACAGCTTTAACTAGAGTATTGCCAAAGCTGTTTGAAGCGTATGCAAAACAACTTATGCCTGTATTATGTTTCTTTTTAAAGAAAATTGATGTAGGGTTCCTCACTGAATTTAGTTTTTGTTTTAGTAGTACCTGTGAACGATGCATTGTTCTGTTGTGTATTTTTTCCTCTAGTGTAGTTAATATAAAAAAAGACTAGAAATGTAAAGCAGGTAGTGTTTTGTTTGGAGAGTGTAGATATTGTTCCTAAGCACTCCCCCTGTCTGCCATTGGTCGATGAAACAGATAGTCCCACCCCCAAACTCACACCATTGGTTGAGCCATGTGTTGAGTTGATCGGATGCTCAAATTAATATATCTGTGTAACACCTAGTGTTATACTTTAGATAGAAGCAAACATTTTTACATTAAGCAAATAATAACGTAATCGTAAGTGTACATCACAAAATATTGGCAGAATGGACAACACTTTAGGCTATTAGACAATATTACTTGTCAATACGGTGCAATGTTCAACTCATAGGAGTGGCAACAGGCCAATAACCTTGATTAACGAAGGTCTTTATGTCCCAGATCCATATATTCCTGTAGCGAATATCAATATCTTAGTCTGATTCATTAAGATTTAAGAGTCAAATTAAAAGTCGTAAAAACTGACCTGCTCTGTTTTTAACACCTCTCCAGACTTGAACAGGATGAAACGCTCTTTACATTAATAGAAGTGTAAGTGTTTTACGAAGTGGCATGTAGCGTATGTTGTTGGCAGAGCTCTAGAGCACAGGTTTAGGGATGTGTGCCGGTGTGAGGTGAGTGGTGTCATGTCCACAGGGAGGCTGGGATTCAGAATAATGAAATGATAGCCAGAGGCCAGTGACTCTCAGCTCGAATCTCTTCAACTGCTGCCATGAGTGTGTATTAACTCTTTAGTCCTGCACGGGTATGACATGTCATGCCACTGACCCCTCTACCTCACATCCATATGGCAGTGCTGGGAAGTGAGTGAGTGGATGCAATCCCCTTTTTTTGTTACTAGTTTGTGAAAGTGAAC